GCACCTGTTTTTTCCAGCAATTTACGTCCACGCGTTTTTTCGGCACAGGAGTTTTGGTCCACGTGCCAGTTGAGACCCAAATTAATTGGCCCACATGTAAATACAAACGACAATTGCTCACGACGTTTTTGGATGAAAACTTATAATGTCTTGGAAGAATGAGGGTTTGCCTGTTTTTTTGTTTTGTCTGTTTGGTCCATCGGAGAATAATATATAGTTGAGAGTTTTGGTAAAAATGGGGGAGCGTCAATTCCATGAGACAAAATTCACTAAAACTCTCTACACCTCTTTGGTGTAACAGGACTTAATTATCTTTCAAGAAATTCTCACCTTGTTATACCTGAACCGGATAAACCTCTATATTTGCCTCAGCTAAAGGCTCTTAGATTTTTCCTGTGTACGATAAGTATCTTGATTTATTTTGCGAGGAAAGATCTGTACATTTAAAGGATGCCTGTTATTCTTAATACGTTCAATTTCGTATAATACTGTGCAACACCTCTGTTGTGAAATAGTTGCTTCAGGCGCCGCCGCCGCACGGCGGGCAGACGGGCAGCGCGAAACGCGCATTGGCGCCTACAAACCTAAGTGGATACTTCAAGCATTGTGCAATGCGTGAAGTATCCACTTAGGTTTGTAGGCGCCAGTGAGCCTCTCGCGCTGGCAGCATGCACGCCAGCGTGTGAGCTGCTAGCTCTGCTAGGCTTTAATATTCATACTCGCATAGTCAGCGTTTTTTAACTCATGATTTTGAAATGTTTGCACACTCTGCATTGATTATTCTCATTTAAATTGATGGGACAAAAATATGTATCAATTTATCAAAGGAGAATAATAATATAATGTGTGTTTTTTAAATATTGGTAGTTCCGTGTCGAATTTAATGATTTCCAAATCACTTTCATTTTTTCTTTTACATTTAGTGCATTTATTGAGCTGCAGCGTTGATTCTTGTAAATTAGTTAAAACCAATAAGATATGTTCAAACAGCAACTTTCTACATTCAATATTAACCGAGATATTGCTCTTCGAAAAATCGAGTTTTCAACGTCATCCACCGCGGCACACCCTTGGTTTCTTCCACTTAGCTCTCTTCCGAGTTTCACGTTGAACAACCAGTAAAAATGTGTGTCACACCGACTGATGAAAGCAAGATAGAAGGAACGAAACCAAGGGTGTCACTATCGCGGTGGATGTCGTCAAAAACTCGACTTTGCAATGGACGATATCTCGGTTAATATTGAGCGTAGAACGTTGCTGTTTAGACAGATCTCATTATTTTTAACTAATCTACAAGAATCGAGCATTAAAAGGCGATTATCTGACCAGCGCAACTGACCCGCTGAAGAAAGTTATGAATATTTTTCCTTGAAATTTTCAGACGCTTTCGATCAAATCACGAACAAAATTCTCTGAAATAAGTTGGAAGAAAAATATTTAGAAATTTTGCCGAAAATTAGGGGTTTGCAAGGGAAATTTGGCACCATCTGAAGGCTCTAACGCCGTTTTTCTTTATCACGGCAGTATACTTGCGGGCTCGTCTCGTCCAAGATATTGGACTCCATGCTCATTCCTGAACAGTAATTTCTGTCCAGCACTTAGTTTCATAATTCTTCGCTCTATCACTTTTGAAGTCATTTCACTTTCATTTTATGCCATCGACGACCACCAAAATCTTCGATGTGACCAAGAACTTCGACAGAAGCAAGTCGAAACTTTGAAAATATCTTAGCACTCTACGTTTGTTATAACTTGAGAGCTGACTTCTAGCCACGAATATCAGCTGTGCAATATGATACCCAACCTAAACGAAAAAAGTATACGGAGCATTGTTCTATTTCCTCCGGTTCCACACCACCCTCCCTCCCTGCCAAGTTTTGCCGAGTAAGCATCGATTCAAAAGAGGAGACAAAATATTTTAGGGAAAACATAGCATCTTTACAACTCAGCTCCCTCTCATACCCAGTGAATTTCGCTTTTGTCCGAGACTGTGATCACAAAAGATGCCTCGCTCGGTTTTTGTTTTATTTTTGATCAAAAGGTCGTCTTCGTCACTCCCAAGGCGCGCGAGGGTCGAAAGGAGAGAGAAAGGACGTCCGAAAACGAGGAGGATTGCCTTTCGTCGCGCCAGATTCAACTTTCAACCTTCGCGTTCTGAAGGTCGCCCGTCGGCCTTTGTTCTCTTCCTTGGTCTTCGTCAAGCTTTTCCAACGTTCCTTTATTTCTCTTGAAAATTTGAGTCGCGGGAACTTAATCACGAATCATAGCGGAATATGAATGCACAAAGAAAATACCAGTCGCATATGTTGAGTTAGCTCTCCAGAGTTTCCACGATGAGAAACAAATTGGACGTAATTTTTTTCTCGTGCACGTGGCGCGGAGCTTCGTCTCGGCACTGGTGAATATGTGCAATATTTGGACTGCATTTTGCAGTTTGGAACTACAATTTCTGGCTCAGTTTAGAAACGAGGTATGCACCATTAGTTTCCCTATGCATATGCAGATGAGCCAGAAATTGGACTACATTTTGCAATCAAGGAACTAATATTTCTAGCTCATCGATAAAAGCACTCATTGGCACAGGGAAGCTAATGGTACATACGTCATTTCTAAACTGAGCCGGATATTGTAGTTCCAAATTGCAAAATGTAGTCCATTTTCCTTTGAGTGAGAGAACTACGTTTCCTTCGAATAGTTCATTTTACTAACTTATACTATTCCAAGAGGAGCCTAGAAGGGGCTAACCTCATAGATCAGGAGTCAAAGATGCTGAAAAAATCACCGCAAACCGCGCGTCAATACCTCAATCAGATACCGTGCTACAGTTGGACTCCATTTTGCAATTTGGAACTATAATTTCTGGCTCATCTGTGAAAAAGGTTATTTGCAGAGGGAAACTGATGGGAGTGATGGGACATAACGACGGTGAAACTCCCAAACCACGTATCTCGGTTTGCGACGTCGCAGACTTCCTGTCATACTTTATTTTTTAAATGAAAAACTACTTAACGTCCAGTCTTGAAAATTTCTGTGATTTTTCCTCTTCGTAAGGAATGATATTGATTTGGTCTACTTCAAAAAAATAAAATGTGAGCGTAGATTTTTAAACACCGCAAACGAGATACGTGGTTTGGTAGTTTCACCGTCGATATGTTGTTTCTAACCTCAGCCAGAAATTAAAGTTCCTAATTGCAAAATATAGTCCAGTTGGAATTAGGCTTAAAGGCTCAGAAAAGGGTGTAAATCGAAGGCTGTGAGCCTTCCTTTCCCTATATATATTAAAAACGGTTTGTATACGAAGTCTAAAATTTTGATGTGTCATTCTGAGGATAGAAAAGCATGCAGATCCCAATTTCGAGGGCCCCAAAAACCGGTAACTTTGTGTATTGGTCAATTTTCCTTGGTACTTTTGAGGTAATCATATGCCTCTTGCGTGAAAAGATGCCTTACTATCAATACGATTTATGATGAATTCGCTTCTTCCATTTCTGTTCCGAGTTTGACTCCTTTACAGTGAATTATGACTTCCAGCGTTTGATTCCGTAATTCTTCAAAGCAGCTCAATTTGAATGACAGTTTATGCAGGTGTAACTCACGACTTACCGTTTGAATTATAGAGGTGAGAGATGATTTATTCCGTAGCCTGCCCGTGCGACATATGTGGGTTAAAATAAGGGACTGCATCGGCGGTAGTGCCAGTTATACGACGGCGTGCGGTTTCTGTCTGGTTCCTCCCCAAAACCCAAGTTTGCGAGCTCCCATTCAAAAAGTGGCAATGCAGTGCAGCGGGGGTAATTGGCTAATCCCTCCGCTCTGTGTGGGTGGGTCTCATCTCCGGGTTGGAATCGTGCGATAATGTGGACTTATTTCATGTATGCCACCGAATTGTTCCCCTTGTTCAAGTATGACTTTGACCCACCGAGCCATTTCAAATTTAAACAAATTGACGGTGAAACTACCAAACCATGTATCTCGGTTTGCGACATTGTTCCTGCCATATTGTATTTTTTAAATGAAAACTAATTTTTTGTAAGCGAAGAAAACTTAGTGTAATCTTCAAAGAATGATACTGATGTGTGCCCCTTCAAAAAAGTTAAATGGGAGCGGAGATTTTTAAACACCGCAAATGTCATGCATAGGTAGTTTCACCGTTAAAATACAACCGCGGGTAACAGGGCTAGGAAAAAAACACATGAACCAAGCCGTTTTGGCTGGAAACACCACAGCCTCCCTCAGTTGTTGAATGAAATAAAATTCAAAATGTTGTACCTTCTAAACGGAATGAATAATGCTGTTGTCTCGTTTTACTATCTGTTGTTATCTCGTTAGCACTAGGTTTTAAATTGTTTAATTGTAAATTTTATTTCTCCGAACTGAAGAAGACTGTAACGTATTGGTTCATGTGTTTTTTTCTAGGCAAGTTACCCGCGGTTGCATTTGTTCAAATTTGTGTGTTTTCACTGGCTGCTGAGTAAGAGTCATTTCAAGTATAGCAAGAACAGACCGCCAGATGTGACATTTTTTTTCTACTTTACATTTTTACACACTAAACTTGTTTTCTTTTACCGTAAACGTATAGAAATAATCAAAATCAACCCACAATAATTCGTTTTTTATCTGCACTAGTATCATCCTCGCATTTACAAAGAACAAAAAGACGCGGGGGGAAAAGTGCTAGGGGTTACCCCCTAAAATTGTAGCACTGCCCCAATTCGTTGGATGACATTGACATTTCCAATTAATTTTGGTAGGCAGTACCGTAACTCAAGTTGGGGTAGTAACGCAACATTTGGGTTAGTAACCTAATTCATTGGGGCACTATACCAAAATTAATCGGGAATGTCCAAGTTCAGACCTAACCCTTACCACTTTTTTCCGTGGAAAAAAAACACCGGAGTGATATTAACGTCGATTAAATCAGTGGCCGTCTAATGTCAGTGTGCTTATCGATCGGAAAGGTATACGAGAAAGCGTTAAACTTTCCTATTGTTTAATTTTAGATCGGCGTCTGGAAATCATGGATGGTGAAACCGGGGGAGCAGCTGGATATCAAAGACATCGTTTGGCCCGGGAACAGCCACACCCCACCCCAAGGAGTGCCGGAGAAGTTCCATCTGAAGGTGACGTTCTTGGAGGAGCCGCCTTACATCAGTCTAGCACCACCGGACCCCGTCTCCGGAAAGTGTAATATGAACCGCGGTGTCATTTGTCGGGTCGCTAAGGAAGCTGACATCGAAAAGTAAGTACGCAACCGCGCGTCACCTCTCCAAACCCTCAGACCCTGCTATTAATCAACGAACGCACTCAAAAATAATATTGTCACGTCTAAAATTGTCGCAATAATTATCGCAGATCCTGAAAACACTTTCCCATACGAATACAAATATAGATAAAAGTACATTATGGCAGCCCGAGATCAGAGAATAATAGCGGACAGGAAAAGACGGGGACGAGACCGAAAAAACACTCAATAATTATTACAGATCACCAGACGTTTCGACCGGTCTCCCGGCCATTATCAACCGACAAAAAGAATTAAAAAATCTAAACAAAACAAAAGCTAAAAACAATGTTACTGGTCCTTGTTCATTACGAATTGACCGAATGAAAACATGGACGGTGAAAGTACGAGACCACGTATCTCGATTTCGGTGTTGAAAAGTCTCCGCTTACATTTTATTTTTTTGAAAGAGAACAAATAAATATCATTCCATGACGTTTAGTCAAAGTTTTCTTCTACACTTAGAGAAGCAACATTGCGGAAGTTTTCATGAAATGGTGTTGAGTAGTTTTTCATTTAAAAAATTAAGTGTGACAGGAAGTCTGCAACTTTGCAAACCGAGATACGTAGTTTGGTTGTTTCACCGTCGATATCTCAAAAATGTGCTTGAAGTGCTCCTATAAGTTTACAATATGCTTTATTAAATACCATTTACGACAGTGGAATCTAACAGCAGTACAAATAACAATATATGATTTATTTCGATACTGAATAGAGGGATGTCCCAGGATTTAATCTTTTATTATATAAAATCATAAGAGTAACTCGTAACGCATGACGCCTGAAACGCGAAGCGCTTTTGGGGGGTTAGACCACGAAGCGGTCAGGGGGCGCACCCCCTAGTATTAGTATAATACTTAAGTTAAGGCGTGCTAGCCGCTGCAATTGACTCTTTAGCGATAAGCTCATCAATGTGTCATTCGTTTATTCTATTGCAGAATAAACAACTAGAAATAATAATTACATTCATATTCAGGTATCTTTAGATAGCTTTTCATCTTTTGATGCATGATTTTTGTTGCAGTATAAATATCCAAGAGGCCCATAAGAACGAAACGTTTTTCCAATGTTGCTCCGGATTCTGCGTGGATCTGCTGGAGAAATTTGCCGAGGAGTTGGGCTTCACATACGAGCTTGTGCGCGTAGAGGATGGGAAATGGGGAACGCTCGAAGAGGTAATGAGTGTCACGAGTTCTCTTCTGTAATCTTCCTTTTAAGAGGCTTCTTCCTCGGCCATTAGATCATTTACAATTTACAGCTCAGCATCTACTATGTATGCTCATCGGAGGAAGAGAAACGTATCAGGTCCCTTTGACNGGGGGGGGGGGGGGTCGGAGGGGGTCGGCCGGCGACATTCCGTCTGGGATATTGAAAACGCAATAAAAGCAAGTTTTAACGTCTTTGTGTAGAGATTGACCGCAATGACAGCATGTTAGGAACTTTAAGTCTCCTCTAAAATTGCTTTGTACCCTAGAAGACCGCCCCTTCCACTTTCCACAAGCTCCCACTCCCCCGCTACCATTTCGTCACTATCTAAAAGCACAAAGAAAGGCACATTATTCAATGAATATATGATTATAGGAAGCTGCAGCATTATGGCTGAAAGTATTAATCGTTAAAAATATATTCGCATTAAATCATATACAATAGGCCTGGTTGCTGATCGTCGTAAATTAACTAACAATCTAACTAGCCATACCCGCTTCTCCTCCAAGGAAATTTTTTGAAAGAGGGATCCTTTCCTCATTTCCGTTTGAATCTATGTATATAAAACAGAAACATGTGAAAAACGTCGAATCTCTAATACCTAGGGGAGAAGAATATGACGAACGATAGCCAGACACATGGATCAAGGTTGCCCGATTGTGCGATTAAATGCGGATATTTCATGGGTTTAAAAGGGAAAATGTGCTGATTTTTCAGCATTATCTGGCAACAACGACGTGGATTTTCCTGAGCTCGTGCCTTCTCCCTAAATTGCGTGTATGGTCTCTCCAAGATGCTTCCAAGGTGGGATCGTGTCTAGTTAATTCTCATCAGACGAGGGTAAATAGCACTCAAAAAAATTGGAGCTTGTGGAAATATTAGAAATTTTTTTTCTTCCAAAACTACAAGTTTCGTCTTGCGCCCTTTTAGCACATGAGTCGTCAGTCTGGCCAGTAATTTTCCAGTGCATCGCAAGGACCGGTGAATAACCTCTCATTAATTAACTTTGAACGTTTGCTACATTTTTTGCAGAAAAATGGGAAATGGAACGGCCTAATCGCCGATTTAGTGAACAGGAGAACGGATATGGTGATGACAGCTCTCATGATCAACTCGGAGAGAGAGGCTGTGGTTGATTTTTCAGTGCCTTTTATGGAGACTGGGATTGCCATTGTTGTTGCAAAACGGACCGGCATCATATCACCAACTGCCTTTCTGGGTAAGTTGGTTTTGACACAAAACTTTGTCGTCCTCATCTCTTAAGAGGGGGTGGGGGGAGGGGGTTGGGTCCTTCGAATTTTTACTCCGTCATTCTGAGGTCTGTGAGTATAGGGGCCGCAGCCCTCACTGCAGAGGGCAATGGTACTTTATAACCACCAATTTATAAATTGACAGATGCCTCCTAGGCATGAATAGTTGAAGCACAAAAGATGCTCTAATCCACGGCTAAATGCAACTATTCGTGCTGAAAAGATGTCTAAATCAGTGGTAAAAACGAAGAATTAAACATGCTCCATCATTATTTATCCTCGCAGTGAAGCCCGCCGTGCGATTGAAGCGGTGAGTGCCTGGAGGGGTAAAACGCCTTCATTTCTGTGCGTATGCGAAACGAACATCCATGAAGCGCGAATAGTTGCATCCACACGTTACAATGAAAGTCGTGTAGTATTTTCCGCATGCGATACTGACTGAAGACGCTTTGTACGTTTCTCTCACACCGCAACTTAATTTCAGCGTTCTCTATTATGTCGGTGAAATAAACTATGACTGATTTTTATCGCAACTTTGTCAATTTTCCAAGAAACGCCATTGATCGTCCAAAAGTGCAACGTTGTAATCTCGAAATGCGGGCCACAGCTCGTGTAAACACTGACCTATGAACGGTCAATTCGGAAAACGGATGGAGAAAATCCGTAAACAGCGTTGAAAAGCCATTACTCTCAGTTTTTTAACCCCATATAGATTTTTAAATTTAATCCGATGTAACTCTAAAAAATATGCTTTTTCTTAACCCATCTCCCCTCCGCACGGGTTCAAAATTTCACGGATCGTCCCCAGCAAAAGAGCTGCTGTATTTAATAAAATAAATGGAAACAAACACAGTATGAAAGTATACCGTGGAAAAAGAAGCGCGTCAATGACGGCGCAGAGATACAACTATTAGTACTTGATGGACGTCCGTGTTGCATAGGCATGCAAAATTGAAGGCGCGCTGGCGGGAAGAGTGAACTCTTAATACTCCGCATATTGTCGCTAGTGAGGTATCGCTCCTGTTGGGGAGACAAGTGAGGAAAGATTATGGATTGAATGTATTTTTCATCTTTTCCTACCGATAGTTTCTCACTGATAACTAGCTGATTTTTTTGTGCAGAACCATTTGACACTGCCTCTTGGATGTTGGTTGGAGTTGTGGCAATCCAAGCAGCAACATTTACTATTTTTCTTTTTGAATGGCTCAGTCCTTCCGGCTTCAACATGAAGGTATGGCTCTTAGATCTTATTAATTTGCAAAAAGGTTATTGAAGCAATAATCATAAAATCATCTCTTACGAAATTTACCAAATGGATTGTGAGGAGAAAGAGTGCCAACTGCTTAGAATGTTTCCTTGTTTCTGACATCTTACATTAAAGTATATAGAGTATGTTCACCTGTTAAAACGACTTAAAACACTATCGACGGTGAAACTGCAAAAATGCGTATCTCGATTTCGGTGTTTCCTAATCTTTGCACCTATTTTATCTTTTGAAAGGAGACCGGACCAACATCATGGCTTGAAATGTTCATAGAATATTCTTTGCATATAGAAGAAAAATCTCTTCAATAAAATGACGTTCAGCAGTTTTCTAATGGTCAATTTTTTTTTTAAAATGACGTGACACTCACTCTTGATTTCTTCAAATGTTCTCGTTTCTAATTTCAGGCCACCGCTCCATCGCCTAATCATAGATTTTCATTATTCCGTACTTACTGGCTCGTATGGGCAGTTCTCTTTCAAGCGGCTGTTCACGTTGATTCGCCCAGAGGATTCACAGCTAGGTAAAATACATTGTCTTTGTCCACCTCTGTGTAAAATTACTTTCATTTGTCACATGTGAATGATTATTTATGAAAATATAATGATGTTTTTCTCGTATCCTCCATTCACGAAGCTACCGCCTGTTGATGATCTACGCAAATAACGGCACCCATCTTGGTTGTACATAGCAACAACCCCCCCCCCCCTATTTGCTGCTTTGGTTGAAGAAAACATTCGCTGCTCGCATTATATTTTTGTGTCTGAGGGTGTTTGCGTGTGGGTGTATGCGCAAAAACACAAATCTTTTCCAATAATTGATTGCAAAATTTGGAATGATTTTTCTATTATCATTATTTTATTGTTATTTTCTATTCAGTATTCTTTTGTTGGTGTTTCCTCTCGTGACTGGGGGGGTCTTTGAAATAAATTCAGGTGTGTAACTTTGTCTGAGACATAGTCATACTATATTGCCTGAGAAATGCACCTTATTTTTTTAATAAATTTTAAATCGCACGAAATTGTTCTAGGTTCATGACAAATATCTGGGCAATGTTCGCAGTCGTGTTTCTTGCCATCTACACTGCCAACTTGGCTGCGTTCATGATAACCAGAGAAGAATTTCACGAATTCAGCGGTATCGACGATCACCGGGTAATTTTGAACATCTCGCCAAATAACTTTCTCACTCACATTTTTCTTGGCTTTATACATAAGTATGACCTGTTGATGGCTGTACCTGCCAAACATTTTCAGATTTACACACTCTCTAGCGAGAACTTGATAGATTTTTTCTAGTCGAGAAAGGCTCCAAAAAGCTGAACGATGTATGACAGTCAGAAGTTCCACCAAATAGTAGAACAAATCATGTGTGATTTATCTGGAACGCTCTGAAATATCTCGCAACAAAGTTTTACTAGGACTCCATCAAAGAACAGGGAAAAATTGGAAAATTGGAGGAAATTTTGAAAAATTTGAGAAAGAATTAAAGCAATTTTTGAAAATTCTGTTCAGTCCTCGATCACGCGGGCATCTTCCAAATCAGAATGTGAGAAACTTTGAGGAAAACTGAATATCTCAAGTGTGTCGGTCCTCAACTTTTAAGTGAATTTCAAATGCTATCTTTTTTTAAAAATGCAAGAAAGAGAATCCGTCGAACATCAGAAACAGTAATGACAGGAACTAACTGGTAAAAAACATGATGCAAATCAAATGTCTTGTAAACCAACTTGTTTCCCTTGATGTTCAAGCCATGACAGGTCATGTGAATAACTAATTTTGTATTTTTCAGCTGAGCAAACCGTATAGCCACAAGCCTGTCTTCAGATTTGGGACGATTCCCTTCAGTCACACCGATTCGACGCTGAAGCGGTATTTCAAAGAGATGCATAATCACATGCGCAAATACAACAAATCTTCTGTGAAAGCAGGGGTTGATAGCGTTGTAAGTGGGTGAGTGTGCCTATCATTATGTGGCTGCACATTCTCTTAGCACGAATCTTAATTCTATGAAGTTATGGGACGAGGCAATAATATTGCAGTCCCTAAACATCAGAAAATATGCTTCTCATCACGTATATGACGGCGAACCAAATGAATCAGAGAAAAGAGGGAAAATGGAGGGTTTAAAAAGACAACAGAGAAGAGCATATCTCTATCCGTGGATAGCAAAATCTGCAAAATCTAATACTGAAGAATCTTATAACCTGATCGGGTTACGAGTTGGGAATCTCTCTATTAGTTGTCAATTACCGTAATCGTCGAACTACAGAAGCCTACTCCTGAAAACTTTCTCGTCTTTTCATCTAATTGTAGGTGAATTGAGCCTATCCCCATCCAAAATATCTTTCTTTCTCCTTCTTTATCGTGTTCCACAAAGTACGAGTATTATGTGGGGCTGACCTTCACCCCCTCCCTCTTTTTAAAACGCCCCCTGTACATAACCCTGTTTCTGCACTTGCTGACTTCTTATTTTCGTATTTTTTAAACATTTGAGAGTCAAAATATTTTTCAAACAGAAATCTAAGGAATGGCCCAAGAAGTCTAGTTTTTTCCTGCTTTCTCGGATCCTAACTTCTGGCAGTCATGCCCTTCTCCAAATGAGCCGTTCAATTTACCGTTGATTTTCGCCACAGATTTGTGAAGGAAATCCACACCTTTCGTGGTTTTTCATTTTGGTGGCAAACCGCTGTAAATGTTGCCGATTTTATCCTTTAAACGTGTCGCAAGTATCAACAGCGAAAACGCGTTTTCAGACTCCATGTTGCGTGGTGCGTGGCCACATTGTATGGACAATGTTGGACATTTTACTCTGTGGCGAATCAGCGCAGCCGCTTTATAGGATCGAGGTAGAAGCAAACAAAGATATGAGGCACCCACATGAGTCACTAATCTTATTGTTTAATATTTTCAGAGAACTTGACGCTTTCATTTACGACGGAACAGTTTTAGACTACTTGGTTGCTCAAGATGAGGACTGCCGTCTTCTCACTGTCGGTTCGTGGTACGCCAAAACAGGTTACGGACTGGCATTTAGTAGAAATTCAAAATATGTACAAATGTTCAATAAACGATTACTAGATTTTCGAGAGAATGGTAAGAATATTTCATATCATATTTTAAAATGTGTAATTACTTAGAGGCACTTAATCGGCAGTTAATACCCGCAGTTGGTTATTCAATCGATTTGCGCGGGGAGCAATTTCTTGAAATAACTTACGCACTCCTATGAATGTCTTTGAACAGGCATCTTTAAGACATTTTTTCATAACGACAAACTCTTTTACCGAAAAGAATCGTGCTCTCAGATTTATTTAAATGGGTCTTTAAAAAGTATACTGTCGCTTATTTTTATCGTTGACTTGAAAGGCACCAATCAACAACTTTTCACTCACTTTTGCATGTAAATGTAAGAAAAAAGTAATTATTGGATGAAACTGGTGGTTTTTAAAAACATTTTAGTCGTGCGATAAAATGCTTCAACACAACGATTTGAGAGGGGCTCTAGAAATGGACTTCTCAACATCAGATAAATCACGCTCAGTCGCTCCTTGAAACTTCCTGGAAAGTTGAATTATACTTAAGTAAAAGTGGGTTTAACATACATTCGAGCGGTGGCAAAGCGTGAATCATGGACCATCGATTTTGTCCCACTTAAAGCTATGATAAAGAATCGATTATTAAAATATACTCTGATAATCAATCCCTTTTCATAGGTTTGAATGATAAATCGATCGACTCATCGCAAAGCACGATACGCCACTGCACTCGAGAGGAATCCAAAGTTATCCTCGGTCAAGAACGTTTCAAGGAGCGTCTCGTAATTTTTGTCTCAATCTTAATTTTATATATTCCTTTGCGCCACTGACCCATCAAATGTTGATACTTCTTTGTTTTGGTCTAATTTCAGGTGATTTAGAACGATTACGAAGGTACTGGATGACGGGCTCTTGCAAACCAGGAAAACAGGAGCACAAATCAAGTGATCCTTTGGCTCTGGAACAGTTTTTGTCCGCCTTTTTATTGCTCATGTCTGGAATTTTGTTAGCTGCTCTCCTTCTTTTCTTAGAACATATCTACTTCAAATACGTACGCCAACACTTGGCCAAATCCGATCAGGGTGGTTGCTGCGCCCTCATAAGCTTGGTAATCAAATTTTTAATATATCTTAAAGAATCTCACGCAATAAAAACGCTAAACCATTTACGATGTTTCATCCATGCGCTGCCCATGGCAATTTTGAAAAAAATCATGAGGAATTTTTCTTTTTTTCAAATAAATGAATTCATTGCTTTTGAATTTCAAGTTTATTCACTAGCTAAAACAAATGCGGTTATTTTTTTCCTACTTTTTGATTAGCTCTTCTCGTGTAGATCAGGAAAGTTTCCAGCGCAGATCTTAAGCAGATATCTTGAGATAGTCTAAGCCGTGATTGGACCAACTACCATGATGGAGAATTTGCAGGTGTCTGAAATTTGACGAATTCCATTTTTAAGTATAAAATACTGAGTGAACTGAACACAAAGGTAGCCCTGGTTCATAAATTGGACTTATTATTGAGGGGTTAAGTATGACAAAATTATCTAATTTACCAAAATACGTGTGTTTAAATGGGAATTGCCGCCAGATAACGTCCTTATAGGCGGTTAATTTTCTCACTTTTAAATTTATTTCCATACTATTTCCCAAATTCAAAAAAAAGTATAAAAAATATCGTAAAATTAGCTCTTCAATCTCTTTCAGATGAGGCGATAAAAAAATGTGAGTGCAAATTCTCCATTAAATAGGTAGAGGTAACAAAAAACGGCAAAGCAGTGCCACAAAAACTCAAAGCTGCAATTTGAATATCTGTGACATTTCACATCCAATGTTGGACTAAATTTGAACTGAATTTTTTATTTGTTAAAGAGTATGGGTAAATCTCTGACGTTCCGAGGCGCAGTCTTTGAGGCGCAGGACATCATTCGGCATCACAGGTGCCGCGATCCAATTTGTGACACTCATTTGTGGAAAGTGCGCCACGAGTTGGATATCGCCAAGTATAGAATCAAACAGCTAGAGAAAGAAATGGAGGCGCATGGCTTGAGGCCGACCAAAAGGTAGGCATCACACGTTGAACCTCACGAACCTTCTTTCAGTTTCTCTTATACACCAATCTCTAAATCACATTACAGTCTAAATTTATAGGTTTGTTTCAAAACAATAATGACCAGTAGCGTGGGGTGTAGCAAAATATAGATTGATCTGTCATTTAAACCTATGGAAAAGGATCGATGAACACCTTAATAACCGATTTTTTACTATTGCTCAAAATGGGGAATCGATAGTTGATCATTCACGCCTTGCTACTGATAACGATGTACGATTTTTGCACACAGCTCGATACGCAATGATCAGCAATGCTAGCTTGAATTTTTCAGCACAAAATATCAAGCCTTTATTGAACTCTAAGTAGCTACAAAGGCCCAACATCAGCTTTTAGAAGTTGCACTAAAGCCTTCATCGCAACAAGCATCTCGAATGATTTTTTTAAATATTTTTTATCTTAGGCCAAATACGTACATTTTTGAAACGAAACTCAGAATTTGTTTTAAAAAATCTCGTTTGTTTTTATACAGCATTCATCGGTTTTCGATTTTTTTAAACCCTTTCTCCTTGCATTTTTTCCAAAAAATTATTGGAACTCTATCGAAAATTATTCTTGAACTGCAGTTCACGCGAAAGTTCGTGCGATTGACTCGAAGGTTATAACCCCAGGATCCAGGCGGGCTGTCAAATACCACCATTTTTATTACACAGGCGTGATAGCACGGTGGCCCAGCTTTTTCTCGTCTCACCCTCTAAACTTCATAAATTCTATCGAAACAGACCTTGCGCCAAGTTTCAGCCAAATTGGATGATTTTAACACGTGATCGTATTTAGGTGCTATCGTGCATTTTCAGCTTTAATACGGCGGAAAAAAAAAACAAAAAAAAAACAAAACAAATTCCATTTTCGAGGAAATTGGTATTCATTTCTGGATAATAAGATCAGCAAATACAATTGTTAGTTTCAACGGCAAAAACTTGGTGGAATGAGGTACTAAGCACTTTCGGATCGGTTGAAGGACATTGCGACAACGATTTTTTGTCCGCACACCTGGTTCTCCTAGTAGTTTATGTCCACGCGTTTTTTCGGCAGGAAAGTTCGTGCCATAGTACCTTGATTTATTTTGCGAGGAAAGCTTCGTACTCTCAAAGGACGCCTACCATTCTTAGAATGTTGGAGCACCTTCAATTTCGTTTGATACTGTGCAACACCTCTATTGTGGAATAGTTGCTTGAGGCGCCGTGGCACGCTGCGGCGCACGGTGGATCGAGTCAATGGGAGAGGTCGGTCATGGAGCGTTGCGCTTCCAATGTTACGAGGATAACGAATATTCCTGGTCATTTGATCTATTATGTACCACATACCTCATGTAATTTTTCGCGTAGAATTCATTTTTGATGTTATTTTTGGTGAACAATGTACCTGAAGACCCGTATTTGTGCATTTTGTCGGGAAAACTATACAGGTGCAAAGTTTAGGCGTCTGTGTTTTACTTCGTAGGACGGAGTTTTTAATTTTTCATGATGGAAGAGGATAAATTATGAATAAAATTATGAAAACTTACTAATAAGTGTCAC